CAGGTCAGGTGGCTAAGCTGTGCTGTGAAACTCAAATGGCCCATGACTTGCCACACAAGAAGGTATGTGAAGACTGATCATCTACTGCATGTGGAACAATATTTGCTTTATGGATGGCTAAAATGAATGAGGACTTTCCATGTTTCGACAGGCCAGAGAGTTAAGAGAGATGAGTGTATGGACCAAAGCTGGGTCAGCTGTTGATACAATTAAATCTTAGCATTTAATATGGTACCAGATTGTGATTGTTGCATTGCTCTGTTTTTAAAGACCTCCTATCAGCCACCGAGCGGGTCTTAAACAAACCCTAGAAAGTATTTCTTGATCACTGCTGGACACATGACATCGTCTGCAGCTGTGATTTGACACTGAGTTGTGAACTAAAGGGTAATTCAGCTGTAACTCTCCATTCATCCCTCCCTATCCTTTTAACCTGAATTTCTATTTCCCATCTTTTCCAGACTTGCAGAGAGATAGCAGGCTACAGTTAGTGCGGTTACTGAGACAATTCGATACGCATGTCTGTTCTGACCCTTTACCTTTAACAAAATGTGAAGAGACAGGAAACACTGGATTTGGTGTAAACTGTAAACATTCCAGATCTTTACCGAACCATTCAAGACATGCCTAGGTCTTTATATTGTATATATAATGTTTTACAGTTTTAAACCTGTGGTCGCGCTACCCACAGTTCAAAACAGACACTGCTGACGTGTTCATCCCCTCTATCTTGGGAGGGTGCCGGGGTAAGAGTACTGGGCTTTTGTCCCACCACATGTCTATTGTGGCTAAACCTTTCCCTTGGGGGCAATTAGGACCTTTTAGTTTGTTGTAAGAGGACCTAAGTACGAGTGGGTTGAGCCAGGAAAAACATTTTTGAGCTAAACCAAAAACAGAAGCGCATTGAGCTCCTCTGCGCTCCTGGACTTCTGAGCATCTCTCTATTAAGAAATGTGCAGGCCTGCACTGAACAGACAGGAACTGTGGCAGCTTTACGGGGGCAGGGAGGTGACGGGGGTGAGAGAGCTGGGGAGGGGGGGGGGGGGGGCTTCAACCGAGGCCTTGCCAAGATGGCAAACAACTCAAGACCAACAATGTTGGTGGCAAGGACATGTTCCACAAAAAAACCAAGAGTAAGGGGAGATTCATGTTTCGTCTTAACTTTCACATGGCTGAATGGAAACTGGGGAGAGTGAAGTGCGAGGGGTAAAAGGTATGCAGTGAGATCTGCCGTAGCGTGCAGAAAGCAAACACGCATGTTGTTTAACACAACAGAGAGTCTGAGCCAATGAAAAGACATTACTGTAAGCAAAGGCAGCTACAGCAGAAGTGTTAGTCTACACATGTGAGAGATAAGAGCTAAGGGTAGGCCTAAGTATGTGATTGAAAGAGTTCATGTTTGCACAGGGATGTAAATGAGTGTGCATGTTTGAGAGATGGCGCAAGATATGGACTTAGAGGAGGAAGAAAGGGCAAAAAGGAATAGAGCAGAAGAGAAAGGCAGGTAAGACGTAATTAAGTTTCCATGTTCTCTTCATGCGGGGACCTTATCTTCCTGCAGAGGGGAACGTTTCCCATGGCAGGCCTGAGTGGATCAGCAGTGAACAGTGTTAGAACCTCTGAGCAAAAAGCCATGAGTGATGAGGAGGGGTTAAGAGAACTGAACCCATTTAAGTCACCCAAATAAGGGCTGTACAAGTCCATGATGGATGCTCTGGAGTTCCTGAGGGAGAGAGCGCTAGCAATGGGAAGGGTGATGGGTGAGGAGCGAGCAGGGGTCCTGCGATCCCCACTTAATAAAAACAAATTGGTTTGATAAACGACACAGGCTTAATGTCTAAAAATGAAATGTGTGCACTGATTTTCAAACTGTAATATAAGCCATTTTAAAAGGCTGACATGATATCACTGGTATGAGCTACGCTGAACATTACAGACAAACAGCTCTGTTGACTTTTCTATACTTTCTATATTCGTTCAAGGGTTGATTCTTGCTGTATGTTGTCTTTGTTAGTAAGTGCGTTGCGTTTGTATGAATTGTTCGAGCTTATGGCTTGGTTGGTTACATAGTTTTTTATAATGTACTTTGTAACCACCCGTGTTAAAAAAGTTGCAATGATAATAGTTTTTACTAAATTGTTTACAGAAAGATGCAAAATATGAATTAGGACTGCTAACAATACACCATGTTGTTTTCATATCAGACAATCTCTGGTCTTAAAGGCAAACAGTCACAGGCCGAATGCAGCTGTTGTTAAGCAAAGAGCAACAGAATCTATCGTTTGGAGCCCATTCAAAACTTACAGCACTTATAAGTTGACTAAAAATGAAACATTGGAGTAGATGACTTCCATTTTAAAAGGCTGACATGATATCACTGGTATGAGCTACACTGAACATTACAGACAAACATCTTAAAACCCACTTTTCTATATTAATATTGTATTCGTTCAAGGGTTGATTGTTGCTGTATGCTGTCTTTGTTAGTAAGTGCGTTGCGTTTTTCTCTTGTTCGAGCTTATGGCTTGGTTACATCGTTTTTTACTTAATTAATTGTAATGCACTTTGTAACCTGTGTTTAAAAAGTTGCAATAATAATAGTTTTGACTGTGTTGTTGGTCTAACAGTGCACCGTGTTCTTATATCAGACAATCTTTGGTCTCAAAGGCAAACAGTCACAGGCCGAATCCAGCTGTTGTTAAGCAAAGAGCAACAGAATTTATCGTTTGGAGCCCATTCAAATCTTACAGCACTTATAAGTCGACTAAAAATGAAACATTGGAGTAGATGACTTCCCTACAGGCCAACATATCTCTTGAGAAGATCCTGTGTACCATACAGTGTTACACTGCGCTGTAATAAACAGTTATAGTATGTTTAGACAGACCAAGAGCTTAGCATTCTACCATTACTCGTGCGTTCCCAGAAACTGTGTCGCTCTACCTAAGTGTATGCCCCTCTGTGAGTGTCTGTGTACGTGTGTGTGCATGCAGTTGAATAAATAATTGTGTGCTCGCATGTGTGTGCCCTCAATAAAACATTTCATTGGCTTCCTCTCTGAATTGTTACAAGTGGTGCCATTATTTAACACAAGGCTCTGGGCAGCATATGGGATTGCAGCATACTGACGCTTAACAAGCACACTTAACCCCAACCGGCCATGCTAAACCGAAGAAAGGGAAGGTTGTTCCCCAGAAGTGACATGGCACAGGAGGGCAGTCAGGCCAGGGTGAGGAGAGGAGGGGACAGCATCATTAATGAACCAGTCCATAGGCTCAATTACCGTACACTGGGTAAAGAAGACAGTGTTAAAACCAAACGGCAGGCACAGGGTAATTCAGGAAACTAGACGTATACAGTAGCACATGATCTCTTAATAAGTCAAACAGGGTCACATTTGATTTGTAGCCCCCATGTTGACTTATCTTAGGACTTTTATTACATTGGCTGCATATGTATAGCTCTTTCTGCTTTAACCAGCAACTAAATTAAGTACTACTAAACTGAAGTGACTTCTACAGCCTGTGTTCACCTAAAGTTTATCTAAGTGAAAACACTAAAAGTCTCCCCAAAGACAAGCCCTCACAGAGTCATAAATCTGTAGTGTTTTTAAAAGCCCCTTGTTATGTCTGTACGTCTATTTCTGTTGTCACAAACATGATTCCTTACTCAGTCCGACATCATGGGAACCATTCAAAAGTCATCTCAACTCCGCTCTCAAAAGAATGCTCTGTATTTTTATATGTTCAGCTTATTGTTTGTGTGTGCCAAGTATCCTTTTTGGAGAAAGAACAAAAATGCTACAATACTAAAAAAAGGCAAGAGAAAAAACTACGATGGGGGGGTGGAGACGAAAAGTAAAACAAAAATGTAGGTGTGGACACTTTTTGCTAGATAGCCAGACTAACTCTTCAAGCTCACTGAAAAGTCCATGGGAGGGTTCAGGGAAGTCTTGCAAGGTAATTGATTGCTCCTAGCGGGGCAATCTGTGTGGGATTTTGTTTTCCTTTTTTCAGTCTGTAGGAACAGAAAAAACACACATGGGCCGTTCTCAGCAATTGAGCCATTAGGGGGAGAATGACTGTGGGAGTGTGGGGGTGAGGAGCCTGACAGCAGGATGAACACTACTTAAACATTACAGTACACACACTCATCCATACACCCAAAACCTAGCCTAAATACAGAGGCGCCCACCGTTAAAGCCGGGGCATTAGGAGATGCAACGGATGCGAGGACAAGAGAATCTTCTCGAGACAGGCGAATTAGACCGCGACCTTTGCTCCCCGTTGAGTAACATTAGCGAGAGCTTCCTGTGTGCAGGCACCACTCTGTTGACCGTTCATCATTGCCCGGGAAGGTGGACAGTCACCATTACACACACACTGACGCCTCACTTTACAATAACACGGCGGCAGCCATGACTCCACATCTGTCAAGGGGATGTTTAAAAAGAGTCATCATTATTACTCTTTATTCTGGAGGTGGGTGCAGGCTGATAGGAGGAGAGCCGTCTGGTTAACGTCGAGTTCCTCTCCTTAACCAACGACCTGGGACAGGAGCGCAGACTTAAGGTGTGGGGGGGGGGGGGGTCCGGACGGGTACCGACTGGGCGGGGGGGGGACCACAGATAAGCGGTGCCCTAGGTCCGTTGGCCCGGGGATCTTAAATCATAGTCAGTCTCTCCCCTAAGTTCACAAACATCAGCATTCCCATCGCTCCAGAACCTGACTCTCTTATCAACGGGCTTATCACAGCGATCAGTTATCTGGTGCTCTAACAAACACGTCTGCTACCATCTCACACTCACTCCTCCACACACAAACACAGACACGCATAATGAAAAATGTGTCAGGGTGAAATGAAGAGTGAAAAACTCTCTAATCATTTTCATTTTGCAGAAAATATAGCAAGTTCCAAACTCAGACAGACACAATTTTCTTTAAAGTTGACTGTAATTCTTCGTCCCTGCTGAAAAGAAACAAGTCAAGTCTTACTCTCACCTTTGTTCCCAATCAGGGAGACCACCGGCTGGATGTCATTTTCCTCGTTGGCCTTCTTCACCAAGCTGAACCAATCCTCCAGATTCTCAAAGCTCTGGTAGTTGGTGATATCGTAAACCAGGAGAACCCCCTGCATTTGAAAAACATAAAGAAACAACAGAGTCCTGTGAGTACACATCATATGTTCTATTGACTTGAGTATTACTAAGGGAGCAAGGGAACAGCAGATGGCACTGCTCCTCTACTGAGAGTCGGGGACACACTCACTCACACATCATCTGAGGGTCACTAGTATTATAATTCAGGTAAGACTGCGGGACGGTTTTTAAATGAAAGCTGTGTTCCCAGTTTTGTTAGCATTACATTCAGTCAAGAATTTGGTGCAGAATTTAGGTGAGGTTTGGTTATCTGCTATCTGATAATGAATGCACGCTGTCTGACTAAAGGCATTCTCCTCCTCCCTCTGTAATCCTCTACACTGCAGAAACACGCATGCAACAACACCAGAGCCATGTTTGAGCAAACACACGGACACTTCAATGAATCAAAGAGTAAACACAGATACAAGAGCTGCTGGCGTAAATCAAGACAAATAATCACGTAGTTTAACTTTCTGCTATCGCTGCGGAAATTGTTGCCTTGTCTAAAAAAGGCCTGGTAATTAAACCTGAGCCGCGGTAAATGTCTCCACTTTTACTGCATGATGCAACACGACTGAAGAGTTGTCTGTTGCTTTTTGTTCGTCAGACACGCACTGTCACAACACGCAAGGTTGGTGACGACAGCTCAGCCCTCTGACAATTACTGCAAGTCTTTCCGAAACAACCGTGATTGATTACAGGACGCACAGTGCTGAACAAAAGGTGTGAACGTTCCATACCGCGCTGACGAGGAAAGTGGCGTAGTGTGATGGGCGACATTTTGCTTTTGAATGAGATAGACAGTAACGCAGAAAATAAAATAACTCACGACATGATGATCCTGGCCGAAATAAATTCAGTTCACAATATACTCAACATAAGCATCCACCTATTGTTACAACTCATTACACTCACTTAACCAGACTGACTTTACCTTGTATGTTTTTAGGAAACAACTATTGCATAACAGATAGGACAACTATCTTAAATATGGTTATCAAAAGGTCCCGCTGCATAAATAAAAAATATTAGAAGCGACATTGTTCTTTCATACAATAAATGTATTTGCTATTTTTATAACGAGCTAGACTATTTTTTCAAGTCACTCGTGATGATATTTAAAATAGTAATAGTGTAATTTACCCCATAAGGGATATTCTACACAATCAAGTTATTGTGAGTTTGTTTTTACTCGATCGGCTATAAAATCCTATATTGTCCCTTCCTTAAAAGGAAGTGCTGCAGACATGGTTAATATACTGTACACTGCACAGTATTATTGCACAATTTAGAGCAAAAAAAACATGTCACTTTCACTATTTTAATGCCAAGTAGATTCATGGAATGGAAAAGAACCTCCAACTAATGTTTGTCTAGCTTATATGGACAAACATGACAGAAGTGTGCTTGCAGCTGCTATATGGTGAAAAGTTTCCTGCCTGTGCCCGAATGTGAGGTCTAATGCTGCAGCACGGGTCTCAGATTCGACAAACTGCGTCCTTTAAGTAGTCCTCTTCAAACAAGAGACATCCTGGAGGTGACAGATAGCACTCGTCTGTAGCAAAACGGCTACCTGATGTTGCTGACACATGTACAAACTAGTACGCAATGACACAAATTACAGTGTTTGCAGAAAGCTCAGTTGTCATTTTTTGAAAACATGTTAAGTTTTCCGTAGGAGAATCATTAAATGAGAGTGAGGGATACATTTTAAGTATATTTTCCATAGACTCACAAATGAAATGACTAATATTGAATACTGGGCAATACTTCCAACGATTTCAGTTTAAAAGTTCAATTAATTCTAATTTTGGTAGTTCAAGCATACTAGAAATGTTGTTTTTGAAAATGCTTACTATAAACCTACCGTGTGCAGTATGGTTAACATTTGTTTAGTCTGACACAAAACCTCAAACTAGGGCTGCTCGATTATGGCAAAAATCATAATCTTGATTATTTGGGTCAATAATTGATAAATTATTATTAAAAAACGATTATCCATTTACTTTGAAAACATCAATTTATTGGAGAAAACTGTTTTGAACAGTAGGTTTTTAACAGTTGATTACCCTGAACTTTAAGTATAACTCAACTGAAAAACCAATTAAAAAAAACAAAATTAATAATAAAAAAATAATCATTATATTTCGATTACGTTGTTTTCGTAATCGTTGCAAGCCATAATCGTAATTGCGATTAAAATACGATTAATTGAGCAGCCCTACCTCAAACTGTAAAAAAAGAAAATGGAAATTAGCGATGCAGAGATTCTAAAAGGTCGATTGGCCTGCTAAGCTCACTGAGAATCCAAAATGACAGTTTATTATGATTTGGCTGCAGAGGGAGGGAGTGGCTGTACTAATAAGCACAAACAGTCACCAATACAGGACGACTAGGGAATAAGAAATGTATTCTTCTTAAACCGTCATCCGAGTATACTTCACAACACTAGTCTGTGTTGAGTATGGCGTGAGTGTTACATGTTGTGATCATGGATGTTGCCCCTCCTTTCTGTGATGTGATTGTGATGTGCTATATGTGACATGTACTGTATGTAGTAACGTGTGTTGTTTATTGTTCTCTTTTATCCTCACACCGGTATCTACTTGTCTTTCCTCCTTTTTATTTTATTTTATATATTTTCTTATAACTAATGCTGTTGATATATTGTAATTTTAAGGGTGTCTATTACCATCTGGCCGGGGACAACAGCTGGAAATTAGCCATGTCGGCTAAAGCTGCACCATTTACTGTTTTTGTGACAGTAGATGGGGACTGTCCACGACACTATAAATAAATAAACTAAACAAAGAGTGTTCATTTTGGAGGAATCCGATTCTGAAGTTCAGAGAGCGTGCGTGTCATCTTACATGAGCTCCGTATACATATTTATCCAGCATTTTTCCTCCTATCGTTTGGCCTCCGATGTCCCACACCTGCAGGGTCACGTTTAAGTTTCCTACAGAGAAGAAAAGACAAAACACTTAATATATCAAAAAGACCTCATAATGCAATGCCTAACTATTAAACCAGCTCTATAAAGAAGGCATTCAATGTCAAATTCCCCAATGTCTTGTTTGAAAATGCTCTTTTCCAATAATGATTAAAAAGATTTAACAAAACAAGAAATAATGCTACAATTTCTCAGTTTCCATTCATTTTTTGTGTTTTTTATTCATTAACATGTTATTTGAACAAAGCTCGTAATCCTGAAGAAATAAAGAGTCAGCTGTTACTGGAATTGCGGTGAGCGATTTTCTATAATAAAAGTCCACATTGTTGATATACATAATGGAAACAATAAATCATCGATTAATATTTCATGCTAAGCGCTTTTGCCTGGCAGGTCACCCACACCTCACATCCAAGAATATCCAGCCCATAGATTGAGGGGGAGGAATAGGTACGCTTACCCTCTCATTTAAACACGCTCAATACACAGGCAGAAAAAAGAGTGACTTCTTATTAGCCTGGGAAGAGCTGTTTGCATTGTGCCATATCCTGCCAAGTTAGGAAAGTGAAGAGAATGATGTGCTGTTAAGGAAAATAGCAATAATTAACACAAAACGAGAGGAAAAGGAGACTGTTGTCCCTATGCCTGTGGAAAGAGAAAAAAGGAGAGGGAGAGAGGAAGACGGGCACAAAAACCAAATCCAAATAAATATTTTCTTGCTCTGGAAAATGAAAGGGGTGGTTGAAAAAAAAAAAAGATGTCAAAAAAAGAGGGTGGACCAGACAGCGGGGAGTTTATGTTGGTGTGATGGGGAGCTGTGGACACGGCTGGACGACTCACCCCTTCATGAGACCCCTTTTTAAAGGAAGGAAACGCTGAGGTTCACAGTCACTACATCTAGACTATACAGTGTCAATGTAAAGCTACATTGAGGAGTGCGATGCATAACGGCTCCTTGGTGTTGTAGAGAGCCATCCCCACCCGTCCTCCAGGCCGGGACACTGGCTTTATTTATGTTTCAGAGATTCACGCTGACTCCACAGTGCTGACATTTTTCTGCTTATGCTTTGCACTTTTGGACTTAAATGTCATATTTATTTTTAAAGTGATTGTTTTTACTTTGTTTTTATTTATTTTTAAATGATCTCCCAGTCACAAAGTGTTTTTTATTTCCATGTCTCGATTACTGGACCAAATGTCCCAATTTCCAGAATGTGCAACTGTGGAACCAAGCGATGAACCTTAAAACTGATAACAAGGTTAATGGGTAAGAAAAACACATGTTGACAATTAATTGACCTCTTAATGTGACGTGAAATGGACACAGACAAAGCAGCGCCAGAGAGTTTGAGGATTTCTAAAGTAAACTTCACCTCAAGTCAATCCCCTTCACCGCCTGTACCTCATTGGTTCGGCAGAGACATCTGGAAGAGGTATTGTTATAAAAGCACACACAGAGGAGGCTGTTGTGTGCCAGTCGGCCTCACCTCACCTCTCCCCGCGTTGGAAAATGTACATTAAGCTTGACAAGCTGGGCCTTCATGGTGAGAGGGGCCAACCCTGGCTAAAGGCTACTCTCCCCCCTGCTGCAAAAGACCCTTACAGCCCCATAGAGACCCGGAGAGCCACACAACCTCACCGATACAAGGCAGGGTGGAGGTCCTAACGAACGTTTGGGACCACCCAGCTCGCAGAGCCACCCTCCTCTTCATCAGCTCATCAACACCCAATTCCCCAGAAAATGGGCCATTTAACAACTCCGCTGTTGGACCCAGTGTTGTTGCTGCCCCGGTGATACGTGTGCTATATTTGAACAAAGGTTACAGTTCAGCACTGTCAGTAGAGCCCTTTCAGGAAAGAAACTGACTGGAAAGAGAAGTCAAACCATTAACAGCATTTGTTCGAGTTTGCATTAAGACGTTTGGGCCCGGTCTGTGCTTATGGTTGGCTCTTTTCATCCACCACAACATTTTTGGGGGTTTAGTTCTCCTAAGTCTCATAAGCTGAAACTGACACAAAATCAAAATACAATCCTTCAGCCAACTCACAAATCAGCATAACTTTTACTTTTAGCACTTAATTTGCCCTTGCTTAATGTTGTTTTATTAGTAATGAAAGAATGGAGGCACTTTGCAGATTTCTGCAGCTTAGGGCCCTGGCAGAGTTTTACAAAATGCCATTTCAAAATGCTAAAAATCCCCATTTCACATGGTAGGAAGTGAAAATTGAGTGCTTTCGTCTAAATATAGCATTAGTCAATAAACATTTATTTTACAGATCTAAGGGGGGCACAGAGTGTGGCTTTATTTCTGCGGGTTCAACATAAACAAATAGGAACATGAATGTTTTATGTGGTGCAGGACAAAGATCGGTTGAACTTGGGGATCAGTGATATGGATATAAAATGTTAATGTATTTACTCTGTACGGTGCCACCGAATTATGAGCAAGGCTCGCCCTTTTGGACATAAGCTGTACATTGGCCTTGTGGAGTTTTTTTAAAAAAAGTGTGCTGTTTGCTCTGGAGAGAAGAGCTTTCAGAGCGAATAAGCCTGAGAAGTGGCAGACACTCTACAATGAGGAGCTACCAGAAAAGACACATTCAAGAGTTAACCTGAAGAACAAACTCTGCCTTGAAATGGTAGGACAAGAAAATATGAACAGCGCCAGAAAATATGAGAAATTAAAATATGACAGAAAGTGATGTTGGAACAACAGGCCTCTTTGTCCGACTTTGAATTCATATTCTGGACTGGTACTTTCTGACTTTGTAAAGTACACACAAACATTGAAAACCTTGACATAATGTATATTTTACAGTATTACAAACAAAAACAGTAAAGTCCGTCTGTCTAAGTAGATACTTACCAAGGACATAAATCCTCAGTATTTTATTGAATTAACAAGTCTGCCACTACATGTTTGTGCAACACGCGTGTCTGTGCTGAGTCTGCGAACAGGCGAGCGCTCCCAACAGATTACGAAGGTGTCTCACCTGGAAGGCTTATTCTTTTCAGAAAGAAATCCAGGCCGATGGTTTGTTTGTACTGCTTCCCAAAAGCCTCCTGTGCAAACCTGGTGGCGAGTGATGTCTGAAACAGAGACAAAGTGAGAGACATGGTTAAAGTGCACCAATCTTAAATCCTCAGCGATCAACAGGAATATAATTAAGTCATTTACAGGAGTTAAGTGTTTTTAAAAGAAAAGACCTCAATCCAGTGCATAGTATTTGGTTAACAACAAATATTCACACATGTACGCACAAAATAAAAACCAAAGCAAAATCGCAGCATAGCCTGCAGCAGATACTGCCTTCCAGAGAAAATATACAGTATATTAAAAGACTTCCTGAAAAAGTGATACTTTCGGTGGTGAGCAGAAGAAGGAAAACGTTGATATAACTCAAACTGAGCTAACGGTAACGCCAAAGAAAGCTTTTCACAATATTTCTAAAAATACAATTTATCATATGACAACACTTGTGTGCAGCCATAATTCGTATGCGTTGCAACCTTTAAGAATGACCTGTCGGACATTCATTTCATTATTACAAATCCATTCTGGGCACCTTCAAAACCGTTGTTATTGATTGAAAGGTACGCTGATGTAATTGTCTGCCTCCTCCCCTCCGTCTCGCTCCCCAGCCACGGTTGTGACAGTGAAATCAACGTGAATTACAAAAACAGGTGCCGGGGTATGTCATGTCTACAGACTGCAGACCTAATAATTGCCACAAATTATAAAGCGTCCATCACTGTCACTGTTGTGTTTGAGGGAGGGGGAAAAAAGCATGTTAGGGTCTCTCCTGAAATCCATGGGAATTCATAGCACAGGCTTGACATGCCAAGTATAATTCATTTTGATGGATGAGGATAGGGAAAAAAATGAAGTGCTGAATGTCTATTAGCTATCTTTAGAGCAGTATGCTTACATAAACACAACAGAGAAGTGAAGCAATGGGATTCCCTGAGTGTTCATGTGGCAGCAAATGCATTTTAATGTGGTACTTGCCACTCACTGAGTGTTAGAGGATCTCAAACTAAATTCTTTCTTTCAATCCAGTAAACCTTCACTTGAGCCAATGTCCTTATCTACCTCCATTTAGGCAAAGGTAGTTTAAGTTTAGCCAAACAAGGAGACAGGCTAATTTATGAAGGAACAACCTGTATCATGGTTTACCCATATCTTCTTCAAGTACATAATAGTATCTTTGGCTTCCTTAGGATACTTTGTCATTGTGGGGGTCAACTTTATTACTAAAGCTTTACGTTTATGCCAGCTTGGAATTACATTTTATATTTGAATTAAACCTACGAAATGTTTAATCTTGGACTTTACCAGTGGCTTTTTTGCAGTTGTATCCATCTAATTCTTTTAAAAGTTCACTGTCCTACAGACTTGATTTAATCTCAGCATTTCGAGCCTGTCACATGCTCAAGAGTGACTGAAAAATGAATAAAGGTGACTGACGCAACAAGGAGAAAATCGGCCATTTAAGTAGCCCAAACGATCATTGACAACACAGGAATAACAAGCTTGGACAGCAAAAATGTATTCCACATGCTCGCGTTGGCCTAGTGGGCCATTTGTCTTGGCATTCCAGTAGCTTGGCTCTCCTCCCTCAGCGTAGTCCTTTTTTTCCAACGTACAATTGGAACTAACCAGCCAATGTAAAAGCTGGCGTAATCCTGACACTCCAACAGAGAACAGCACAGGGTCACCAATGACACCGATGCCGGGAAACGGGGGAAGTTATACTGAAACAAGAAACTACGAGGGAAAAAAAGATGGCAAGCTGACCATTTCCATGTGATGCAACTCAAGATACGGTGCATTTTTGCAACATTGCACTCAGCTTTCGCTATATTCTCTACAGTGAAGACTGATATAAATGTTGGTATATTGCTGACAAGTTAGACTACACTTGCTAGGAAGCAGCATCCGTTAATGTACAGGACCTGCACCTAAAGAGCCTTTTTAAAGAGCAAATATTCAGAAAACTCAGTGACTTCTAACAAAATAGACCTGTGTGTAAGTTCCCCGCAGCACCTTACGAGCCTGGCTAAATGTGCAACTTCATATTTAAAAAACATCTTGCTCAGGTGCACAAGCCTTCCCACATCTCCCTATATTTCTGAATGGACAACAAACCACAAGCAAAAATACCACCGAAACTGCTGTCCAAGAAAAACTGATCCGATTGCAATTTGCTCAGCAAATTGACATTAATAAGGGGGGAAACGGCATTCAAGATGTCAGTCAGTGGTGCCTACTCAAAATGGGGGGCAGGGCTCCTGTTTTCTGCCCAAAACAGACAAGCAGGTAAGTCATTCAGACAGTGACGAGCTGACACCTGGCAGCAGTGTGAGGAGGGTTATTAATGTAGCGTATCTACTGGGAACTGAGTTGTGTGTGTTCTCTTCACCCCCCTCCCCCAAAAGAAAATGTCGACTCTCCAGAATGAGAACATTCATTTTTCTCATTGGGTCTCACTATTACTGCTACATTCATTTTCTTTCTCCCAAAGGAAGGAGAGATTAGTTACGAAAGGGGATGTGTAGTTGAAAGCACTTGACGTCCCTGCCTTACATTCACACTCATTCATTCGAGGATTTGAGATGCAGTGAAGAAGAACCATAGCTAAATTGTCATGACAACCTCCCTGCTTTGCTGCAAATGATTGTTTGGTGTGAGTAGGAAAATATTCCACTGTTGTGGAGGTAATTTAGGTGTATTTAATCTACATCATTATCACACTCAGGATCCAGTCCAGTAGTTCTGAAAGGGAACAGCAGTCATAAAGCCTGTGTAGATTTAGCAAAGAGAAAAAAAGCACTAAAGGCCTAGCTATATTTGTTCAAAGTTCAGACAGTCATAAAACTCAGTCTTCACACATGACACTTTGTTATTTTTAATCTATCAAATGAGAAAACAGAAACATTTCTCATATGGGCTGTCCAGACATAATTTTCTTAAATGGGGCCTCACTCTGGAGCCAAATGCATACAGGGGGTGCTTGGCCAGGAGAAAAGAGGTACACTGATGGAAAACAACCACCAGCTGCAAGAGCCAGGCTGAAAAACTGTCATACTCTGTAAAACACTGCACAGTGCAGTGTTTTAGCCCAAGTGAATTGAGCAGTAGCTGCAGTCCCAAAGTGTTCTATAAATATGGGGACTGTGACAATTAATCATCCAGCTATATTTCCAATTTAAAACAATTAAAAGATGCATTTTATTTGAATAATCTAGGGAATGTTGTTATGTTTTCCTTCAAGCTTACCCTGTTGTAATTTCTCATACAATTTCAAAGCAGGCAATACATCAGTGGTGAATTAATTTGGGTTGACTAAAATCGGCCCCTTTTGATGAGAAAGTTTGAAAAGAATAACGAAACAACATCATATAATTTCTCCACCGTGTAAGTCTATGTTCTTAGTTACTATAAACCACAGCTCCACCAGCACGTAAGTACAACTACGTTCAATGGTATTTCCAAAGTGGATTAAGGACTGGGTAGACCCAATAGGTTTAGATCCAGAAAACGTGCCACATTTAAATCATTAATGCTATCTTAGAGGTGGGAGTATGTCCGTCAACAAAGGTATAACAGGATTAGGAAACATTTATTTATACAGACTTCATCTTTACTTTATCATGCAGTCATTACAAATTGTGATTAATACTGAATAACTTTTCAGTCCAAAATTTAATTTGAGAAACCATATTCCCCCATCAATGTATTAAATGTCAGAAAGTAGTGTCCAAGGTGATGTCTTTAAAGGTCTTCTTTTGTCAGTGCTAAAGCTGTTTAATTTAATATGAAATAAAACAGAGATGGAAGGAAATCTCCATATTTGAGAGGCTGAAATATCAAAGATGGCTATTTTTTACTGACCATTAACTGATCAATTAGTTGACATATCTTAATTCAACCATCTCAAGCTCTGACTGAGATGAACCTTGCTGCTATCTTTCCCTGCCTGTCCCTAGAGCTATTAACAATTATTATAATTGGATACATAAGACTTCCAAGGGTAATAAGTAAAATGTAGGTACATTAAATTGTGTGTTTTGTTTGTTTGCTAGTATCACAATGAATGTTTGTTGAACTGTTGATAGTGATAAACTTGGAGTAATAAAAGGGAACATGCACTATAATGCTGTATGTTACTATGGCCTATGCTTTTGAGTAGTTAATGTCATACGGACAATTGTCTACAAAAGCTGGATATCCATGTTATATTGTTTTATGTGATGTTATGCTTCCTGCTGCAGTAATTGCACATTCGGGACGGTTGACTTGACATTAACTGATGTTGTCAGATTCTAGTGATAGCTTTTGTCTAAGGAGTCATGGAGCATTTGAGCTAATATATTACATTTTGTTGATATTTTCGAGACAACGTACATGAGTTATATTAAGTGCGTATTGTGTTGTTAAACAACTGTTAGATGAGATAAAGGTAACAAGTCTCCCTGTGTCGTAAAGTGTAAGAAACAAACCAAGTGTTCGCTAATTATATCGAACTATGTTGTCTGTAGCCTTGGATGTTGTTAGCATTAGCAAGCTAAGCTACATAGCGTCAGTCGCCATGGTGACTGGGAAGACTGCAGCGGTTGGATGAGCAACGTAAACAGAAGCCTGCTGTCGTCCAACAACAAACAATAAAACACAACTATCTTTGTTGAATTTAGACTGTATCTGTAGTTACTTTCAGTATGTGTGCGTTGAATATGTCTGTGACGGTCTCACCTTCCCACAAGCACCGTCTCCAACCACTACAATTTTAAGCTGCCTGTCCTGGCTGTCCTCCTCGGAGTCCGACATGACGCTGAAATGTGCTCCGACTTTATCAACGTGCAAAACAAAAAAGGAAAACACTAGAAGAATAAAAACACCGTCGCCGGTTGTCTGGATGTTGTTATGACACTAGTGTAATCACAAATGGATTAAACGATTGTTGAGTGGGCAAGCAGCAGACGCCATTTTGACTCAACTAACACAACACTGCTCCACTCGGCATGATCCACTCACTCACGCAGTGTGCTTCCTCCACTGATTTTCGGTTAATCGGAGGGTAACAGCAACCGAAAAACAAACCGGAGGCCACTCTCAGTTTGTAAATATTTACAGTATTGCCATGAAGCCTTTTGCTTTGACTGGAAACGATCAGAACCGGAAACCCAAATTCACCAGCGGCGTGGTTGAGTCCTGTGTGACGCGTTCCCGTTGCCGTGGTAACAGAGGTCAACGTGTGAATATGAAAACAGAAACACCTCAAAGCAGTTTTGCTTATTTATTAAGTAGGCTATTTTATTTTACGTTGGTTTGTTTGCTATGTGTGGGTCACTTAAATAGATTATACTGAGCAAAAGGTATTACACATACTATGTGACCCAAAATAAAGAATAAAAACATCTGCCTAAAAAGTGTTTAAAGTAGGTAACCGTTTACACAGCAATAAAAATAGCTCAACTACTCCTATATTTATAATGTAGGAACGTTTATATTTTCTGCCTACTTTATCGCTTACTTAAATAGGGGCTTCTTTTGACTCTGATAGTTTTATTGACAACTGTCAGGTTACTTATTTTCCAAGTTTAAACAAAAAATCTTATGATCAGTTTTTTTAAATATGTTGATCTGTCCTACATGGCCAGTGATTATCAAGGTTGGCTCCCTCCGGGGTAGCACTGTCACTGTCAAATTTCCATTTTATTTAAGTATAAAACTACCTTTTGTTTTATTTTTCTTGCACTTATGTATTTATTTCATACTTTCTGCTGCTGCAATGCCTCCATTTTCTGTCTCATAAAAAGATGGAGATACCCTTATATATTTTTTTTATATTGAATGAAATTCTCTCTCTGCCTCTCTCTTAAAAAATAGACAGGCAGACAGGCAGACAGACAGTCACACGTAGGCTACACACATAAACACACACAAATAGTCTCATTGACTTTAGTAATACAGTTTAATAAATATGATAATATATTAATATCTGAAACCCCATTTTGACATATAGAAGATGTATAATGTGCTTCCAACATCAAAATGCTTTCACTGTGTTGACACAGACACACTCACACACATACACGTGCACTAGGCCTATATGTCATGTCAAAGTGAATCAAAAGTTGCATGGCTATGAAAACAGAGATCCAAAGTCTGAAGATCACACACTGAAATCCACCTTTTAGGGTTTTACCTCTTAAATCATTATAGAGTCTGCAGTGTTCATCAACTATTATGAGGTTAAAGTTATTCCTAAAGCCTCTTAATCATAGATAGACGGACATATTTAATTTTTCCACAGCTAAATTCACAGCTCAGTCTCACCACAGTTTAGAAGAATATCTTACCAGCTGTGTAATGTGATGACACACTGATGTATTTACCAAATGATGTATGACTATTATTGGCAAAATGTAACATTGGTCTCAGACAAAATGCAAAGACAGAACATTTAAATAATTATTTTTGTGACATTTTTCTCTGGTGTAATGGTCAATTATGCTCAATTATTTCAAGACATAAACATGAACAAATTGTAGTTAAAGAATCACGTTTCAAGGCTGAATTAGTTTCTCCACGACCTATTGCCAAGAGAAACTTTATTCTCCATTTTTGTGATCACAGTACATAGTTATTTTTTAGGTTTGGAGTCCAGAAGATACATTGCATCATATTAAGGAACAACAAGGATACACCTTTGTCATATATAAATGACTTGAAAATGCAGCATGTTTGTATTTATAAAATGTTTAAACATGAGGCCAATGAGAGGATTTTCATTGTGATCCTTGATGACCTTGATCTCTAACAGTCTTAACAAACAAGAATCTGTCCAAAAGGAGAGTTAAGACACAAGTATATTCCCAAGAACAATATCTATATTAAAAATTATTTGGAGGATCTCCTGTATTTATATTTGTTTGTACGGAAAAAAAAAAAAATATTCCTGTGTTTTTAACCCTTTTTACTTCAAATGCCCTAAAGTCCACTACATATATGTTTAGTGTTAATATTGACTCCTCGCTCAGTTACTCGCTTTTACGTTATATGTGTTGTAAGATTCCCGTCTAAATGCTATAGCTGCAGTGTTTTACAGGCCAAAAATTAAATCACGGTCCTCGTCTTTCACTCTCTTTGCTCTGCAGGGGAGGATGTCGCTGCAGCATGAGGGAAGCAGAGGAATTTGCACCTGGGCCATGAAGCAGGTGGCAGAGACTGGCAGGTCAGTGGCTCCAACATGAGGGTGTGATTGACAGCTAACCCTGAGCAGACACAAAGCTTTGAAGGGAAATTAAGCTTAATTGTTTTTTCAAAAAGGTTGTAGACAGAAACGACCAAGGCAAATTGAGAGAGAGACAGCAGTTGGAAAAATCTGTCAATTGACTTATTTTCATCTCATGGGTTTTGGATAGTCATTGTATCGCATAAATGGAGAAGGCTTTATTATTAAGCTAAATTGCTGCACGAAAATTCATGGAAGCTGTGAAAATAGCTTACAAAAATGCTATTTTCTGATCATTTTTATAGTTAAATTACAATATTTTAGATAGTGCCTTAAACGCCCAATGTTGTTTCAGTGAGCTTTTACAATGAAACAAGTTCTTCAGTTTGTATTTGTACTTGAAATATTAGTGAACAATATTGATTCAAATAAAGGCAATATAAGGCTTAATGTAAATTAGGCCAAGGATACATTCAACGTATGCCAAAATAAACAACAAACAAAAGGGACCTGTGGCACGAATTTAAACATATTTTAGATATCTATTTTAATGTAGTAACTTTGCATATTTGTATTTCATTGGTAGTGTGTTACATATGATTAGGTTGAGGAAATTAGAACTCAGGTTATTAAGTTTCAGGGAGAGAAATACTCCTTTATTGATTCCTGCTACTAAAAATAAATATCTTAAAGCAAAATATCGGTTATTTATGGTTGAATTATTGCATTTGTTTAAGCCTTAGCCTACATATAAAAAAACAATTCTTAGTGGGATGTGTCATTTGGTAGTGCATTTTTAGACACGGGTGTTCTGATATCATAATAGACTACCATAATGATACATTTAAAAAATAGTTTGAAAAAAGGAAATTCAGAAATTGGCCTACTTAGAAAAGCGTTGAAGCAAATCAACCCCAACCGTACATAATTAAGGATACGATATTTAAAGTTTTGTAAAAATTGAGTTGTTTTACAGTTTAATCTGGTGGTTAACCGGGAGTGACGTTCAAAGGAGACATCAGTGCATTTTACAATCTGTGCTCGCTCCGCCGTAAAAACCCACAAATGCAAACCATTATGTAAAAAAGAGGATCCGGGCGATAAACTGCAGCTGTTGCAAATGCCAGTTTTCTATAATCAATATCAACTGTGGAGAGTCTCTGCAGAAGAAAAATAATTACTGCGGAGTTAAAGCATCTCACAGAAACATATCAGTTCAGGCCAGAAAGGAACAGCTTGTGTAAGTCATTTCCAGATAAATCGAAGAACAACGAAATCGTGTTTTACGAGGTGAACACGAATTTTGTTGGGGAAAATCATAATTTAACCAAGCAGTTGTCTTTTCGAAATCACAAAAATCAAAAAGTGATGCTCCAAAAAGAAAATACTCAAAATAATGTAGAGATTGTTGTTTACTGTTGAACAATAATAAAGACAAAATCAGCGACTTGTGCGTACACTTCCATGCATAAATCATTTAGCAGACGTAAAAAGGTTGCAAATAAAAATAAAAAAATCTTCTGGGTTCCCCTATAATTTGATTTTCAGGTGGTGAAATACACCCTAAACAAATGGTTTACAATCACAGCCTGTAAGTAAGTAGACTATATTTCCCACGCGCGTCACGTAAACAATGAAGGAAGGGAAAAAAAGTAACGGGGAATGCACACCTATGGGGGTGTTTGCATTTCAACGATCGGAGGTTGTAAGGAAAAACAACCGCGAAATATCTCTCTATATCAGATATCTCCGCATGCAGGTAGATCTGATGTTAGGACATAGGCGCCTTTCGTGATGTTCTATATGGGATTAAAGAAGATGGGGCACTGATTAGCCAAAAACCACACCATAGAGGTTAACATATGCCCGGATGTTGGTGCGTAAAAGCGGATTGCCATTGCGCAGTTTTGTCAGGGGGGAAATACTTTCTCATGGTTGGTCCACAGGAATGGCCCTGTTGTTAGTTTTGATCTTTGGTACTTTTATGCTCTTTTTATCATCGTATGCAAGGTGTTGTACAAATTGTGATTCATTTAATTTCTTCGTATTACTCACGTTTATCACAATACAGCCTCCCACAGACTGTGAGAGTGCCTGCACGAGTTGTACAGTAGATATTCTTTAATGGTAAAGATGGATGGCTGATAAGGCATGCTCCACATTGACCCTGATTTAACATCCAAGCTATTAGTGGATACATAATACAATATAGCCTACTCCTAATATATTGCAGTATTAAGCCTAAAAGTAGAGAGACAAGCTTAAAGTATTTGCCAGTTGACAACAAAATATTGTTTGCGATGTGCCAACTCTTCCTTCTTTGACTGAAATGTACGCGCAGTGACATGGGCCTCCTTAACCCCGGAATACTCCTCTCCTTGTGTTGACATGCAGCCCTAAAGGTATAGCTGTCAGTTTGCCCTGTTCGGGAATCACACAGCTATTCATCATTGTTTGACAGGTGTGTTTGGGAAAAAGCCATAGTGGCTCAGAGGACACCTACAAAGTCCCAACGGTGGGAATCTTCATATGGAAGTTTTGGTATTTGGAGAAAAAGCTTTGGTAAAAATCCACATGTTTTACCCTAAAAATGCGCAGGATAAAGCTGATATGAAAATCATCGATAAACGTATATTTGTTGCATAATTGGTCAAAAACACACAAAGATGTCCTGAACCAATGTCCAATTTCACTCTTATACCGAGGCTTTTTAGTCAGAAAAAAACATTGCGATTGTCTCGATTTTTACAATAAAACCAGGCTTCTTAAAACTCAGGTTGTAGCAGAGATAGTATTTTCAGCACTGAGTAATGATAATTGCATTTTTCTTTTTATCACCGAGTTGTCTAATTATAGTAGTGTATCCAATGTTAGTTCGTAAAATCGGACAGAAAAAACGCGACTGTCCCAATATTACAATTAGTAATTTACGATCTTAAAATAAAATCAGATTCAGAATAAAAAATAATGCCT